CGGGGGCTTAAGTGGAGAGGAAATGTTTTGAGAATGATGAGGGCAATGAATGTACAAATGCGCTTTACACAATGGATGTATTTATGGATTGTGATAAGAGTTGTATGAGCCCTTAATAAAATGATTAAAAAAAACAAACCCCAAAACAAAGATGTCCAATGTCATTAGCCACGAGAGAAATGCAACTAAAACAACAATGAGGTGCCACTTTATTCCCAATAGAATGGCTAAGATGAAAAATTAAGAAGTAATAAAGCAGAAAATAACAAATGCTGCAAGGAGTTGGGGAAATTTGAGACCTTAACTATTCCTGTGAGAATGGAAAATGGAAAAAAAAAAAAAGAGAGAGAGAGAGAGAGAGAACGTAAAATGGAACAATCTTTGCAGAAATAGCGTGGTGGTGCCTCAAAAAATTACAAATAGAATCATTGTACAACCCAGTAATTCCACGACTAGGTATATACTCAAGACTCTCAAGGAAACGTGCAGTATTCACAATACCTAATAGTGGACCCAACCTAAACACCCATTGCCCAACAGATGAACGGCTAAAGAACATGTGGCGCGCACACACACACACACACACACACACACAGTGAAATACTACCGAGGTAGTCATGGAAATGAAGTCTTGATATGCATCACAATATGGCTGAAGCTTGAAGACATGTTGCTGAGTGAAATCAACCAATCAAATAAGGGCAAATTATTATGCTTTCACTTATATGAAAAGAACAGCGTTTATTAGAGGTCACCAAGGGTGGCTGAGAGAAGGGAAAGAGATATTCTTGCTTCTGGCCATGGAAAAAACATGCACTGTTGTTTGGAGACCGACTGTGGTGTTAACTGTACAATATTGCTTAGTGTGGCTGAACTATAGAGTGATATATGTATCACTCCCAAGTAAGCACACAGACACATATAAATAAAATGCACTGAATAGGGAGAAGATGGTACAGATGACTAATAAATACTGTCAAAAAGTTGTACAATTGTAAAGAGGTGGAAAAAATTGTGATACAAAAGGATTTAAATTTAAAAAATTGTGATACATATAAAAAATTGAGTGACAAGTTAAAAAAGTTGCTGCTGAGGTGGCTTAGGTACAACCCAATTCCTCACGGAATCTGCTTCCCTGCTTTGCAGGCTTAAGGTCATAACCGAATGGGTCATCACAGTTAACTGGTCTAATGACATGCTGAACGCTTCTGTTCTTTATAGAGTGTCTGCAGTCTCAGAAGCTTCTACAAGGCTATCCAAGGCAGAATTGGTCTCTTATTTCCTAGAGCAGCAGAGGAACCAGGAACAGGACATAGAACAGCGCCTCCTTTGCCAGGAGACCAGAACTGGTGCCCACTTCTTATCAATAGCGAACATTTTAATCAAAGATTCTATAGAAGAAGCCTGATCAAAAAGGGAGAAATGCAAAACAAAAATCCAATTCTTAACAGAATCTTGAATTTCTAGAACAATGGAGGTGGAATGAGTATTCAAAACTATTGCCTTTAAATCTCAAACCAAAAAGTTTCCCTGAAGTCTTCTTAAAACCAAACAAAATCCTTCATAGGTTCTCAAACTTATTTGGCCCACCGCTGTCCCCTTTCCAGAAAAATCATTACTCAGTGCCCCACTGGCAATTGAAGACATGTGTACAATCCATCCTCCAGGACATGGTTAGGCATCTCCTTCTGCTGTTCCCCTGGGCCATGCCAGTGTCCCTCAGGGACAGAAGTTATCTCCTAATTTGAGAAACACTGGTCTGGATTAACTCGCAAAGAATGTCTGCCCTGAGCACTATATATTTTTAAGATCTTTATCTATATAAGACCTAATTGACAACAGCAATGCCAAAGATTGCATTAAGTTTTTGTTTATGTTAATGGGGGAGGAGACCCAAAGCCATCTGTAGACAATTGGACATCCCTTACAGAAGAGTCACAAGGAACAGACGAGCCAGTCAGGGTGCAGTATAGCACTGAGGAAACAAACAACATTCCTCTAGTTCTTTAATGCAGACCAGAGCATGTACACGGGTGCAGATAAGAGCTTGCAACAGAGATAAACCCCTCAGGACCAATAATGAGAGTAACGATACCAGGAGGGTAACGGGAAGGTGGGGAAGAAAGGGGAGAATGCTCCCCTACTCTAAGAGGGTTATCACTGTCACTGACTGGAACACATGGAAACTATTGACGTGGTGGCACATCCTGGGTAAATCCTCAACCACAAAAATACACTAGAACCAAAAAAGTTGATGGGGTACAGTGCTACTCTGACATACATGGGGTCATCATGGGTCAGCATCCACTGGAACATTCGACAGTGTGGAAGACAGTAACAGTGCACGTACTCAAATTCTATCCACTCCCTATTCTGCTAATTCAACCTCAGGGCAGATTTCTCGGCCTTCTCTTAACTCAGTGTTTCTCAACCTTCCTCATGCCGCGACCCTTTAATACACTTCCTCATGTGCTGGGGGCCCCCAACCATTAAATTATTTTCATTGCTGCTTCATCACTGTCATTTTGCTACTGTTATGAATCATCATGTAAATATCTGATAGGCAGGATGTAATTTCACTGTTATAAATTGAACATAATGAACCATAGTGATTCATCACAAAAACGGTATGTAATTATATATTGTGAAATATTTATTTCTAATTACAAATAAATGAAATTTTGTCTGGAAGCATGGTGTAGCATGGGTAACAGTCTTCACGCCAGGTACTTGTATGTGGGCACATCTGCATGTGTGTGGACCCTCCTGGAGCTGGATAGAGGAGCGGTGTCTTGGTTCCTAAGACCATCGGAAATATGTGTTTTCTGATGGTCTTAGGAGACCCTGAGAAAGGGTCATTTGACCCCCAGAGGGGTCGTGACCCACAGGTTGAGAACCCCTGTCCTAAGTCAAAGATGCACTGAGTCCAGCAGGATCTAGACTGAAGGCGCCCTGGGGAAGTTCACCGAAGGAAGCCTTGAAACTGGGCACTGTTAACCTCAGGTGCGAGATGGGGACACAAGGCTTCAGTCAGTCGTCAGCTGACCCATCCTCAAGTTAATAGGCAAGCGCTGAATAAGGGGAAACTGAACTACGTAACTTGTGCTTTTGAATTATTATTTCTTCATTCTAAGGATTCAATGATAATTGGAGGGTTTAAAACTATTTAGTGTTGGAGCAATTTGTTATTCCAAATTTTGCTAATCCAAACAAATCAATCCCATAGGGAGAAAGTTGGTTATACTAACCATGGTACATGCACAATTTCAACATTAAAATCAAATTATTTGGTTCCCAGGAAGAACATAATTTCTCAACATACCTTTAATTCATTAAGTGTATTATTGTGCTCTTCAAAATGTTTCCTTTTTCTCTCAATATATTGATCGATGGACTCCATTTCCTTAAAATGAGCCTCATGAAGCTTCTTAAAATCTAGAACATTCCCCAAAATATAAACATTAGTAACAAGCCAAAATCCTTTAATCACCTCCCTTGCTTTTCCCCTACTTTCTCTTCTCTGCATCCCTGACACTCAGTTTCAATCTCATTTCTGCTAAAGCTTTCCAAACTTAGTTTTTTAAAAAACTCAAAAGAAAAGCACATTCGTCTCGCAGATGACCGAACATCCACCATGTCTTTGCCATCCGTGCCACTGTGACCTGACGTCCACTGTCACCCGATATCCTGCTTTGGTCCGAAGATAAGAAAGGAGTGGCAGACTTATCGTCTCTCCTCAGTAATTAATCAACTGGCCTTTGCCAATTCATAATATACTTCTTTTAAAAAAATTAATGCTTAGAAAGACCTATGCCAGGGATGGGCATCTTTTTTCTGTAAAGAACAAGAGAGTATGTTCAGCTTTGTAGCCATACATGGCCGACATGTCACATTCGTCCTTTTTCGCGTCTCTTTACAAAAATCAAATCCATTCTGAGCTTAAAAGGTCACAGAAAACAAGCCAGGAGGGCTGCAGTCTGTGCCCCCTTGCTCTGCACCTCTGCTGTTTCAATTCAGTACACCAACATGTATTGAGTTTCTAATACATGTGGAGCAGCGTCTACTAACCATAGGTAGACAGCATAGATACATAGTATTCATTCTATATGTCAAGCAATATGCCAGCCATACAGGAAGGCTTCAGCCATAAGTGAACCCATCCCCAACCGCATGACAGGTTCAGGATCGGAGTTGTTAGACTTACTGAAACTTGGCACAAGGGGAGCATTGTGCCAAGTACTATATAGATGCTCATTCATCAGATATTTATTGAATATCTGTTACATTCCAGGTGCTGGTCTCAGTAATCAACAGAAGACAATATTCTCAGTTAATCTATCCACCCCACCCCATAGAAACAGCTAGTAGAAGCATTCCCGCTTTACACTGAGGAAGCATCCAAAGTTGGACAAGGAGGGAGCAGGATGTACGTCCTCCCACCCCCTCAAGGCCACTCGGCCTGCCCAAACGGACTGTCAGGGCCATTACTTTACCGCTCTTTGGGGACAACACTTACTTGGAGTAGTACTTCCAGATTTTTTATTTTTTCCAGCCTTTGAGACACCATGTGCGTAACGAGACTTTCTTCTTTCTGAAAGTATATTTGAATCTTTATTACCTAAATGCAAAGCACAGAAGTAATGAACGATTCCTAACAAGGCTGGCCCGTTAAGAAGGCTCTGTCAGGACATGCTCACGTGAGACCCTAGTCAGGGGGTGGGAGGTGGAAATGACGCACAGGGACACAAAGCACCTGACAGCCCCTCTACAACTGTCGCTCAGACGCTTCAAGTGGGTGGAAGGCACATGCTTTCTGCAGTGAAGTCATAGGGTTACAGCACTCACTACAAATCAAAGTGCTTCAGAATTTAAAAATGAGCACGTCAGTGCTCTATCTGGAATGATGAAACCACACGAGACCACTGCCTGTGAATCACCACGAACATTCTGACATTTTTCCCACTGCTGTATTTACTTTCGTTTTGTTTTATAAAACTCTGGTCAAAATTTTGATGAATGTAAGATTTGATACCCCCCCAACCCATATGCATTCGCTCATCATAAGCCCTTTCCACATCCCTCTAGCCTATCCCCGAAGAAACAGGTCATCCTTCAATGCGGGGCCTGCAGGGGCTCTTGCTTGGCGCTAAAGCCAAGAAGGCAGGCACCCTGGGTACAAAACAGGATGTGTTCAGTCAGCGTATTCCTCACAGGACGCTTATTACAGCCGGAAAAGTAACTTTACAGAGGAGAAGTAGGCGGGCAGCACCACAGTCAAGACGGTAGGTTAATGAACACTGCCACACCCGTGCCTCCTAGTGTGCTACTTGTGAAGAATACAGTCATGCTCCTGTGATAGACTCAAACCCAACACATGAAAACAAACATTAAAAACAAGACTCAAGCCACAGGCAAACTCTGTGGCTCATAGTTTGGAAGGCCTGGTGGTACTATCTGGTAAGCATTAGAAGGCTGAAGGTTGGAATCTACCAGCTGCTCCTGGAGAGGCCGATGGAGCTTTCTGCTCCATTAGATTGGCAGCCTCGGAAACCCTGTACGGAGTCGCTGTGAGTGGGCCCTGACTCGCTGGCAGGGGGTTCCTCTATTGTTGGTACACCACAAAGGACCAAGACAAGACTGAGGAACTTGTAGATTAACGGAGACAAGAGAGTAACATGGAAATGCAAAGGACGACCCAAGATTTTTTTTTTTTTTGGCTTCAAAGGACGTCACTGGGTCAACTGATGAAATCTAACTCGATCTAGATTAGAATCGCAGTTCTAACACTTTCTAACCCCAGGAATTTTTTATACTCTGAAAAATTATTTGTCTCTGGACAAATCGACCGGAACAGGCCGATAAAAGAAACGTAGTTGGCATGGACCTTATGAAGTGGAGGTCAACTCCCCTGAGCGCTCCAGCTATTGCTCTTATCCCGCCTCCTGCACAGAGCTGGCTAAGGAGGACCTGATGGCCTCGTGCTCAAGCCGAACTTTGTGAACTGCAGAACCTGAAGGTGTCAGATCCATGCAGCATACCGTGTTTTCTGCCTCTCCCCATGGAAACGGCATTCCCCGCCCCCGGGCCCTCATTTGGCAGAGAAGGAACATCTGCAACGGTTTCGGGATCCTGGTTTTCTTGCTCCTGATTCTGGAATCCAGTGGGATCATCTTTTCCCAATTCTGAATGATCCTGCTACGAAATATAAGAGAAATCATTATTTCTATTTAATACCAAATTGAGGCAGGGAAACAAATGGCCAAAAGAGAAAATGAAACTGTTTAGATTTGGTTTTCTGCCTCACTAAGTGTCCCGAGAAGGTGACATCTGGGAATAGGAGACAGGAGGGGCACTGAATAATCTAATGACCAAGGAACTATAGGAAGCTAAAAAATAAAAATTAGGATGCTGCATCAAAGTGACATTTGAATAAAGAATTAAAACAGGATAGAACCAGGGTTGAAGCAAGTGGGGGAAGCCCAGGATCATCCCATAACCATACTGCAGACAGAGTGATCACTAGGCCTGGGACAGGTTAGGAAAGTGACAGATGTGTGTGGAAGCACATACAATCATGGTAACTTTCATTTTTATGAGCTGGCCGCATCTCATGTAAGTGACCACGTGGTGACTTTTCAGCAGGTATTAATTGAGAGCTTTCAAGTGCCAGGAGTGCTGTGCTGAGCAGCTCAGAGGCCTTTGCTGTGCTTTCAAGCTCAGAGCGACAGAGGGTTCCCCGGCTGGGGGAGGTGCTCTCCTGAGAGCTGAAACAGGAGGCGGAAGGGACTCTGGGTGGCCTGGCTTCCGGTGCATGAGCAGCACCATTCCAGATGAGAGGGCTGGCGCTGAGCCAGAAGGGGGCCCTTCTGCTACTCCCATAAACCCAGCACACGCCATTTGCCAATGTTGGCACTTTGCAACATTTACCTATTAGGAGCAATTTTCCATTTTTGGTCTTGAATTGTTGTTTTTAGTGTGGACGGAGCAGAGGTGAGAAGTAGCGGGGAAAACACAAAAGCAAGGAAGAAGAGTACATTGCTTTCACTTTGTTTCTAAATAATCAGCTTTAGAGGTGCTTAAGCAGGAGTCTGTGAACCCTGACTCACCTGCACTCTTGCGCCTGTGAGTCCAGGTGTTTATTCCTGCTGAGCTGTGTGACAAACTACACTGACAGCAAGGAAGGTTCCAATCATAGTAGCCCTGCTGACCATTTGTATCAGTGCTCAATTCTCACTGATTGCTCCCTGAGATCATAAAGGAATTAAAGGAAAAGTCCCTCAGGAGATACCAGTTTGGGCCCAAGGGGTAGCATATTTTCATGTGCACATTTCTGTTCACCTGGGAGTCGGAGGTTCCTTTGACTGCCCGGCCCCTTCTCTTTGTCTGGGGGGCACAGCGCTCTGTCTGTTCCCGATCTGTACTCTGCACCTCGTTCTCATCCCAAGAGGATGCCGAAGGTTGACCTGCATCCTGTAAAGAGACATTCATTGGCCCTCTCATACCGATGCGTGCGCTCACACTACTCAGGAAGAATCCATCGAAGCTGGATAAAAAAGCATACTACAAATGTAAAACGACTATTAAAAACTTTCTGGTATTCTATCATAGGCAAAGACAAGAATTATAGTATATATAATAAGAAATAATCACATTTAATAAACAAGTTAAGTAGGCATTTGAAGTTAGTTCAGTGTGATCATCAAGCAAGCCAATATTAAGTGTATTAATTTATTGAGTATTCATTTTGTGCCAAGAACTAAGCTACTAACTAATAATGAGAGCCAATACTACGCTTTTACTAAGCTATCTATAACACGAATTATCTCATTTATTCCTCAAAAGCTGTGATGCAAACACTAATATTCACCAACTCACAAGAGGTACTGAGGGCTGCTAGGGAGTTCAAAACAATTTGCTGAAGGTCAAAATAAGATAGGAAAATGAAAATGGGGCTTGACCACCACAAACTCAAAGCAAAAGCTACATTACCACAGCAATGTGGTTCCAGGTGCCGAATGTCCCACACAGACCTGCTTATCTAAGAAACCATTGCAAGGCGATGGTCATACCTTACATATTACACACATGCTGCTGGGGAAACCTCAACCGCATTTTTATAGTTTTAATTGGTGACAAAAACTTGATTCTTGTCCCACACTAAAATGAAACTCAGATGGATTGAATGTTTGAATGTAAAAAAGCAAAACCATACATGCAGTAGAAGTGAGAAAGTGAATATTTTATCACAAGTGACAGAATTGCCATTGGTATGTTCTTACCCAAAAGCTATAAAGAAAACGTGCTTTCAGCATTTTGTAATATTTTAATATGTAAATTCTAGTTTGGGGAAACAAATGAATCCATACATGTGGTTAAAAAAGGAGATTACGGTAAAAAACAATCGCTCTGGCTTCTTCCTATGTCTAGGTGGCTTACTTCTATACCACAGTGATTTGATGATGGGAGATTCATTCATACTTTCACATCCATTCTGTTTTTTAGCATCTCTCATATGCTAACATTTAGCTCATTTAACTCCACTCCCACCTCACCATCTTCCTCCTAATAGAATAATAACACTGAAATCACCCTGTAGCCTTTAAATGTATTTGTGCATACAATAACACTGAAATCACTCTGTAGCCTCTAAATGTATTTGTGCATACCTATGAATTATTCCACCAATAGACAATATATCCCCGAACCTGAGGATACAGACATCCTTATCCTTCACCTCTATTCCGGGTTTTACGTTATAACACCTGGTACCTGTTCTCTCCAGGTATCAAAGCTGACACGTACTCTGTTATGTATCCTTAATGGGCTCATCTGTGACTAGTCTATGCAGCTTGACTAATAGAGTTGATAAACCACTGGTTTTTTAAAAACCATTGTTATTCTAAGTAACTATATGTACATGCTCACACGCACGTACACACACAATATACATATATCTACACCAATGTGCGTGTACATAGGCATACGGACAAAGTGTTTTAGTTCATGACAGGGAAATACTGTACTTTGACTATATTTCCTTTTTTCATTTTTAACTGTTTCTAGTTGCCTTTTCTTTTTCCTTATTGTCCAGTTCACGTCCTCTGAGAAACCTGCGATCGCAGTTGCTGCAAGAGACTTGTTGGAGGAAAGGTCTGTGAAGATCAAGGGGGAGAGCAGGAGGCCCTCTGCTGTCTGGACACTGTGACAGGAGAGAGGGCAGGACGGACTGGGAGGGCAGAATTCAGACTGTGGTGTATCTCAGTGTTACTGTGAGTGCTGACACCGGGTCAAAGTGGAGGCTCTCATCAGAAGCGGCCTATTAAGGAATCGTGCACTGGGCAGGAATGACCCAGCTGCAGGGCCCAGGCTGGGATAAGTCACCGACTGCAACAGGGTAACTGATCAGGGAAGCATGGCTTTGGTGCTATCTCGCCTCAGCAAGTTCTCTTAAAGGGGCGTCGAAAGCAGCATGCCTTCATGGTCAACATCCTTGCTTGCTTTATTGTGTTTCAAAGGAAGACTGGAAGCCCTAAATTTTCCTGTTGCCCAAGACCCCGCCCTCTTGGCGGTCTGGGTCTTCTTTTTCCAGCTGACTGGTTGCTCTCCGAGACCAGCTACACAGCTGTGTTCATGCACAGATCTGCCTTAGTCTACCGCCGTTCTCCTCCTTTCACTTTGCTGAAGTACAAGACCTTTCCTAGAAAGTTGGTAGGTTGAAAGTTTCCAAATCCTTGTCTACCTGAAAATTCTCCCCTTCACTTTTAATAGTTTGGATGTCTGTAAGCTTCCAGAAAAAGAATTAATTCATCCCATGCACTATAGCCAGGGTATGGCAGTTTGGGGGGCTGTGAGCTACCTGGGAAGGCTGTGTTCATTCACTAACATGCCCTTACAACATACTTACTCCAACCCGATTCAGACTAAGGATTCCCCAACACACCGCCAAACCATGTTACTTAGACAGCTGCTCCACATTCAGGTACTGAAGGCTTCAAGGTCTGAAATCAGCCACACAAATGTAATCCACATCATGCATTGCCCACGTGAGGATGTCAGAGTCGGGAAGCTTACACTTGGTAATACTCATTCTATTTCTGTTATATTCCTGGACTGTATCCACTTGCTTCCATATCCTTAGATAGACAAACTCTGGGCAAATCAAAGGGAATTTATGCTAAGACTTTCCATTAATCTAGGCTCACTATCAACAATTTTTCAGAGCCTATATTTGACTGGCATTTAAGCGGGGGGAAAATTGTGGTAAAAATATATGTAGCAAACTGTTTGCTATTTTAACCATTTTTTAAGTGCAGAATGCAGGGATGTTAATTATAGTCATCATACTGTGTAACCATCACCACTATCTATTCTCAAAAATGTTCATCATCCCAAACAGAAACTCAAGTACCTCTTAGGCAGTAATCCCTCCTCTGACCGACTTACCAGCATGTCTTAAGTCATCACTCAACAACTACCTTATCTAGTAGGTGCTACCTTGGTAGGAGGTGATCAAACATGTGACTCACTTGATTTCCTTGTTCTTTTCTTGCTTCCTGTTGAATGTGAGCTTTCAAGGCTTTTAACAATTTGTCTGCCTGCAAAAACAGTTAAAGACCGTGTTGTTAGTGTAAGCAATCATAAAAGGAAGGTACCTCTCCTCAAATCGATCCGGGGCAGGCCCTGGGGATAGAGAGCTGGGTTGGCAGACCAGAGGCCTTACAGGATTGGCACGGGGTTTGGAGAGTGGACGTGTGACCAAGGCCAAGCAATGCTGGCTATGACCAGCTTCAGAAGAGTGTCTTGGTCTTGGTCATTCTGGGAATGAGGTGACCAGGCTGACTCCCCCCTCACTAGACTTATAGCCACTGTAAGCTCCACATCTTTATTTTCACCCCACACCTGGTTGAGGGTCAACCTCAGAATTGTAAGCCTGGCCTGGGCTGTTTATTTCAGAAGATACGATTCGATGTAAGCTATTTCTCCTTCAAAGTGACTTTTTTGTGTTAAGTCAAAAGGAAGTTTTGTGTTCATTATGACGAATATTTCTCTTCAACTCCACCCCCACCCCTCAACTTTGTGGAAGAAAATTTACTACCTGGCTGAGGTGGCTAGTGACCCATTTTGCATATGAAAGTTTGTCCTTAAATCCTGTTCATTAAAAACGCCACACTCACTGCCGCGGAGTCGATGCCAGCTCAGAGGAAGCCTGCCGATGTGCAGGAAAGCCAGAAGGCTGGCTGGCACAGACCTGGTCCTGCCACCGCAGAGTTCACAGCCGACTGGGGAAGACTGATGCGATGATGCACATCTTTGTTTGTTTTTAATCATTTTACTGGGGACTTGTACAGCTCTTAGCACAATCCATAGGCATCCACTGTGCCAAGCACATTTGTACATTTGTTGCCATCATCATTCTCAAAACATTTTCTTTCTACTTGAGCTCTTGGTATCAGCTCATTTCCCCCCTCCCTGCCCCCTGAACCATTGATAATTTATAAATTATTATTTTTTCATGTCTTACACTGACCAATGTCTCCCTTCACCCACTTTTCTGTTGTCTATCACCCAGGGAGGGGGTTACAGGTAGATCATTGTCATTGGTTCCCCCTTTCTCCCCGCACCTTACCCTTAGCCTCCTGGTATCACTACTCTCATTATTGGTCCTGAGAAGTTTATCTGTGTTAAGAGCTCTTATCTGTACCGCTGTACACGCTCTGGTCTACCCAGATTTGTTAGGTAGAATTGGGGTCACGATAGTGGGGGGTGGGGGTTAGGTGGGGGAAGAAAGCATTAAAGAACTAGAGGAAAGTTGTATGTTTCCTCGGTGCTATACTGCTTCCTGACTGGCTTGTCTCTTCCTTGTGACCCTTCTGTAGGGGGATGTCCAATCGTCTACAGATGGGTTTTGGTCTCCACCCCACTCCCCCTCATTCACATTGATGTGACTTTTTGTTCTGGGTCTTTGATGCCTGATACCTGATCCCATCAACACCTCATGATCACACAGGCTGGTGTGACACACATCTTCTTAGAACTGGCATGCAGTAGGGCAAGTGTTAAGAGGAGGCTCCGGGTGTTGGTGGAGAACACAGGTAGACTTGGCCAGCCACGCTTAGGCTTCTAGGAAGAGAACTACAGTACTTTTAATTTGTTCGGTAATGCTTTTGGGGTTTTAAAAGGTCAGGCATATTAGTAGGCTCCATCTTCCTCTCCCTCCAAGCCAGCTGTTCTCAACCTGTGGGTTGGGACTCCTTTGAGGGTCGAACGATCCTTTCACAGGGGTCGCCCGATTCATAACCGTAGCAAAATCAGTTATGAAATAGCAGCAAAAATAATTTTATGGTTGTGTGGGGGGGTGGTCACCACAACATGAGGAACTGTATTAAAGGGTCGCAGCATTAGGAAGCTTGAGAACCACTGCTCCAAACCATGCATTTGAGTCAGGAACTTTCTTTTCAAAGTGGGCCCAGCCACATGGCTCAGTTCCCCAGTTCTCGCATCAGTCACCCTCAGCCGTGTGTTCACCCGAGAAAGGCAGGGTTCCTGAAATTTCTTCTAAGGCACTGAAGAGATTGTTGTCTATGGCTTGAGCCTCAGCCATATTTTCTTTTTTAATCATTTTATTGGGGCTCATACAATTCATCACAATACATATATCAATTGTGTAAAGCACACATACATTTGTTGCCCTCATCATTCTCAAAATTTGCTTTCCTCTTGGGTTCCTGGAACTAGCTCATTTTCCTTTTTTCCCCTCCCCTTCCCTCATGAACCCTTAATAATTTATAAATTATTATTATATATCTTATCTTACACTGCCCGGTTATATGTAGATCTTTGTGATCGATTCCCCCATCCCTCCCGGTATCGCCACTCTCACCACTGGTCCTGAGGGGTTCATCTGTCCTAGATTCCCCACGTTTCCAGTTCCCATCTGTACCGCTGTGCATCCTCTGGTCTAACCAAGTTTGCAAGGTAGAATTGGGGTCATGGTAGTTGGGGGGAGGAAGCGTTTAAGAACTAGAAGAAGGTTGTGGGTTTCATTATTGCTATACTGAACCCTAAGTGAC